AGTTTGGTTGATGGTTTTAATAATTTGCTCAGCTGCTTGTAATGCTTCTGCACATTTGAAGACATGTTGAATATCTTAATAATATATATTAATAAAAAAATATAATTTATTTTTATATAGCTAAGTTTAATTTTTTATATTATAAATAATATAATTAAATAATATAATAGATATATAATAACAATTTTAAATTATGCAATTAGAATTTTAAACTCTTTCTGCTAATCTTTTTGCCAATCAAAAAACAAATGTTTTCAAAAGACTTTTTGTTTTTATGATAATAAAGTCTATACACTTTCCTTAAAAACAATACTGGTTTTAATCAGCTGAGTGAGCAAAAGCTACCACTTGTTTTATTTTTTTTTTTTAAAATACTTTTTTTGTTTATTTTTGCAACTAAATACAAGAAACCTACCTAAAAGATCTATGGCAAGAATACCTTTATAGGAAGAAAACTGATAAGAAAAATACTCTTCAAAGATCTCCAAAAGATTCAACAATCTAAAAAAACAAGAATAAAGAAGTCTCTAGTCTTTTTATCATCTCTTTGGCTTCTACTTCTTTTTTCTTAAACGTGCTTCCTTTTTTTGATTTTTTTGAGGAATTTTGCCTACCTCAGTTTGACCTTGAATTTTTTGATTACACCAGATTTCCTGAAATATAATTGGTCAAGGTCACAAATTGGTTGATCACATCAGCTACAAAAAAAATAAACAAGACATATACTCCTCATGTGTTTCTAGTTGCACAATACCAAACTGATAATATGATTGGTTCTTGAAAGAGTTGAACAGTTTTTAGTTGAAGGAGTAGTATAAGAGTATTAGGTGAAGTTAAAGTTGTGAGTAAGAGAGAAGCAACACTTTTTTTGTTGCTATTATTATTTTTTTTTTTCATATTTTTTTTTGAGAACAGGAAGTAGCAACAAGATCTAGGTCCTATTGCAATTTGGTAACAAGTTGAAGTACTGATATTTATTTTGAAAATAATTGGAGAAAGGAATCTTGAAACTATTAATTGATTGAGTAAAACTATAATTCCAAAAAATATGACTTGGGAGAGAAATCAATAATAGAAAATCAACATCCTTTCTGGTTAGAAGTATTCAAGCATAAAGTTTCAAGAAATATTTTTCTGAAAGTGCCCTTTAACATTCTTGGATATTGACTACTTTTGGAAAATAAACAATTTGACTGGCTACAAGTGATGAAAAGTGAGAAATTATAAGGAACTTGGGTTTTAAGTTTACTGAGATAATCTTTTCAATGATAGTTAGAATAGATGAAGTTTTTTTTTTCTTTTCTTTTTGTTAAAAATTTCTTTTTTTATTTCTTTTTCCCTTACATAGTTTCTATAAGAGAAAGATGATACAATTTGAATTTATAATTGTGACTGTAAAGATAATTTGCAAATTTTAATTTTATCAAAAGTTTGGGATCTTAATCCTATCTTTTAGAGGAATAATATATTATATTCATAAATCATATCTAGAGGCTTTGGCTGTCGACAGGTAAGTTGGGTCAAGGAAATTTGTACTTTGCATATATTCTCGTGTATGTAATAGTTCTTTATGATTTAATAAATAAATGACACCAATCTGATTGTGGAATTAAAATATATATATATATATATATAATAAATATATGATTTAAAAAAATTTTTTTAATAATTAATTCATTGAAATTTTGTCAAGAAAGATAATTATAATTGATATATAATATAGAATAAAAAAAGTAGATTTTTTAATATTTTTATATTTTTTATTGTAATTTAATAACTAATTAATAAAATAAAATAAAAATTTGTATTAATATATTTAAAAATATAAAAACAAAATTTTAATAAAAAACCATTAAATACATAAATTTGTTAAATAAAAATAATAGTAGTAATAATATAATTATTGTTTTTTTTATCAAGTATAAAAAATTATTTATTAATCAATTTAACTTAAAATTTGGTCAAATTAATTAAAAAACATAAAGTTTATATTAAATATAAAGTTTTTAAAGGTTTTGAAAATTATTTAATATTATTTATTAAATATAATAATAAGTAGTTTATGATTTTTTTATAAACTGAAAATTTTTATTTATTTTTTTATATTCAATTTAAAAAAAATTTTTTTTTTGATGTTAAATTAATACTGTATTTTTAAATAAAATTATTAATTAAGTATTAATAACAACAAAAAAAAAACAAGTTTTTTTGTCCCACACTATATTTACTATATACTGTATACGTAAATATTTGTGTATCTATGATGAATCAGTGATATAAGGCTACACAGATACAGATCGTGTCTATACTACAGTATTTAAGATCGGGTAGATGATCCTCAGCCTTTAAAAACCGTGTCTTGATCGCCTTAAATTTAAAGTATATAATTTTTTAACTTATAGTATTATGTAATTAAATAACTTATACGTCATCGCCTACAATCCGTTGATTTACTTTCGGCTTCTGATTTTTGCATTACGAATTGTAAAGCGTACGTGATTTTCTAAAAAAAAGAATGTATTTATTATCGATTGTACCCATTCTTGCTTATAAACAGAATACAAATTTTTTTACTCCAAAGAAATTACGTAATGTCACAAACCGAAAGAGAAGTGTGTTACTTAAAGTGTATAATAAATTCCGGAAAAGTAGAATTCGTTTGGTCAGTAATCACACCATCTAGCTGGGATTGGATCGGATTGTACGAAGACGATAACAAAGAAAATAGAGAATGGTTTGATGGATACTGGTTCTATATAAGTAGTCACAGTAGTCATTCATCTCTTCCTGATGGTCGACATGTATACACTGGCAATCATTGGATCGAAACTGTTTCTGGAGGAAACCAAATAAGATTAAATACTTATGAAAATTACAGAGAATATAACACTTATTTGTATGCTAATGTACATAACCCTACGTTTAATTACTTTGAAATGGATCGGGTTAACTATCTACGTGGGGCACTGCAACATATATTCGATAGACACAAAGAAGATTGGGGATTTACTGAAAATGATAACTGGAATAACCGAAACGGAGAGAAACTTCAGAGGAATCTTCAAGAGTTCATTGGAAAGAATATAAGCAACGTTTATAGTGGAAGTTTTAAGGATGATAGTGCATACTTTATAGTTGATCCTGTAACTTATAAGTGTGTTATAATTCACCGTAGGGGAGGTAGAGATTATCAATTATGGTCTGGATGGGGGTTAAGTGAAGATCAATACGAATGTGCAACACAACCACCATTTAAATTACGTGCAGTTGTATTCATTGTATATGAAGATGTCCTCAATGAGATTGCCAACTCCGAAGGTGAAAGAAATGATTTAATTAACCTATTTGTAAAACTTGTCAAGAAGGATAAAAATCATTACAGCGATAAAGTGTATGACCAGATTTCAGACTTTTTTATACTGGCTGAAGGTTATATTCCGTTGTCATTCGAAGGGAGAGATGAAATTAAACCAGAAGACAACTATGAGCTTGACTATGGAAAGATAAAGAAAAAGGCAGGAACTATTTTGGGGACACTTGAAAAATTAGCAGTCTGATAAAGACAAAGTTTTTACGAATTAGTTTGCTAGTTTGTGTATAAGATTCTTTATGTCATTTTATTTGTTTTAGTTAAAAGAATTTATGGTAGGTTTCTAGAACTCGCTCGATTTCGTTATATTTCCCGTTTATCATGTTAATGATATTCTGCCTCCGTTGCATAATTAGTATCACGGGAACTCATTTCTGTGGTAAGATCGTGTTCTGATCTTGACGATTTGTTCAGCGATAGTAGTGTTGATCTTGGTTTCACGAGTGTTTGTTTCATCGGCATTTTTTTGCTTTACGTCCCACGGAAGAACCATATGGTGAGAATCCTATATACAAATGGATATTTTTGGGAGTCATCTTCGCAACGACGAAAAATAAAGTAGCAGTCGAAGTCATAAAAGGCATGTTTTCCAAAACGATGAATGGGCGCATTTATGCAAAGAAATTCGATTAGAAAATTTCGGAGACAGTCACTTCGTGGCTAATTGTAGGAGTATTTTTATTTGATGAATTTAATTTGCAAACTTTTATTAGGGTGAGCAAGCCTGAGGCTAAATATATCACGATTCTTTATTTATGATGGTCTTGTAGGAGGAGCCTATATGGTAGAAAAAATGTATCTTTTATAAAGGGCCAGGAATCTACTAGAAATATACGATTCAAATAGTGCGTAAAATTTTAAAAATAAAACTTTCGATGTTTAACTTTATTAGCATTTATTGTTCGTAACGAAATAGGGCACTCTGTGTCTGAATTGACGACTCGCACCGAATCTATCGAAAACTTTGTTCATTGTACGATTTTCTTTTATTACATCATGAGTATCAATTAAGCCAAGGCAGTTTATATTTCGTCGATTTTTCTAAATAATGGTCATTTACCGCTTCGTCATCAGCCCGTGCACGACCATCAATTATGCCACATTGAATACACATGGTTCGATTACGAATGATTGATATACTGCACGTAATAATTTATTTATAGCTGAATTAATCGATCTACGAAAAAATCTATTTAACCAGTTAACTTAAGTACATCTTTTATCTGAAAATCTTGTCCTAGACAAGGTCACAAAGTAGCTATGCTACGCTTTCGGTTGAATTCTGGATTCCGTCTGGTTAAAAATTTATATGTGATCATCTAGCCATGCAGTACTAAAACCACCTTATATTATACCACGACGTAATTGTTCTTCACCAATCAGCCTCTCCTGATCTGTTAAAAATTTATAATATTTTCTAGGATTTTCTCTACTTTTTATTGCATCATGATAAAAGGGCATATCTCTCTCCAATTCTCCACGAAAACACTTCATGACCCATCTATCTTTCTCAGCTCGGTAAGAATTAAAAATTCCTTGGGATTTATTCCATGTTCAATGGCATACTGATAAAGGCAGTTTTTGTTTGGTGCCATTACCTGAGTTTCCGGAAAACTATCCTGTAGAGGCAAGACCTCAGCTGGAGGCTGGCTCACGCCATTGCTCTGCAATAATATATAATTATCATCATTCTTTTCTATTTGTGAAGATTCAGAAGCTTCAGACTTTATTCAAGAATTGAGTCCGGTCTCTTCCGTATATGCTCTATATAATATCAAACGAATTTATCAAAGAACTTGGTGATTCAGCCAATTTAGCATACTAGTTCAAATATTTAGGAGTTAAGGCTTTATCCGTATTATTGTTTTATATGATCACAAATTCAAATTAAGTGTAAGATGTCTTATTCTTCGTATACAGTAGAAGCAGAGCTGGAGTCAAAATAAAAGCTTATTATTATGGAACAATGAATATCATTGCCTCGATTATAAATATAATATTGTAAAGCAATGACTCTTCGAGTCTAACTAATTTACAAACATTTGAAACCAAAGAATAAGATCCAGCTTTGTATCTACCTTTTACACTTATTCTCATTCCCATTATTTAGCTTACATACTGGGCATAATTATCTCTCAATTATTCCATAATAATCGAAATTTTCAGTAACAAATATTTTATATAGTTTTGAATATTGTGACAATATCTTATTACAAGTTAAAATAAATTCTCAAAAATGATATCATATACTGTATTTAATTTGAATAAAGGTATCTCTCATAAAAAATATTGTTATCAAATATGTATATTGTTTATTTTGTTATAAAAAAAATTTATTACTTGAAAATTTTTCTTGCTTTAAAAAATGTTTACTTGATAAAAACAATAATATTAGGACTGGATTTAATTTATTAATAAATCTTATACTATATCTCAAATATGGTTATTATTATAAATATAATTCTAGCTATGATTATCTAGCACATAATTCGTATTATCCTGAAATGCTTATCATATAGTACAGTCTAAAGCACCTCTTCTATAGAATGTTTCTGATTATTATTCAAATATTTTTATAGTACATATACTGTATTTAATTGTCAATTAAATTATCAAATGTTACAATACACTATAGCAATATCATAAGACTTATTATATATAATCAATCAAACTTAAGTATATAGTTAAAAAAAATTTTTTTTTATAATAAATATTTTTGATGGTTTTTTTACATATGTACAGTATATTGATATGTATTAATATATCATAACTTTAATAAATACTATGAAAAAATATAATAAGTTTATAAAGTTTATAAACATATAAATAGGCAAGTATATAAAAATATAAGAGATTTGCAAAATGATATTTATATAAAATTAAGTTTTTATTATACAAATAGATTTTGGTTATGCAAATTAACTTTAGATATGTAAACCTAATTATAATTATACAAAATAATTTTGATTATTATATTATAAAATTTTTTTGACAAGTATTAAATGTATAGATTTTATTAAATATAATGTTAATAATCAATACATTGATGATTTTTATAAAATAAATTACAAAGTAAATTAATCAAACCATGCCAAAATTTAAAAGTTAATACATGCAAACCTTTAAAAACCCAAGTAAAAAAAAAGTCAAAAAAATAAACAATTAATTATACGTATATACTCTATAGGTATTGATAATAAAAAATATTATTGGATTGTAATCCAAACCTGTATAATTATATGGTTGAAAAGAATATAAATTAGAATTAACAATCTTGTTCATATTGGTAATCTATATATTAATATAACATAATTATCACATATTGATTTTTTGATAAACATAAGCTATTTATAATTTTTTGATTAAGAAATTTGAAAAAATAAGACAAAAAAAGTTTTATTATTATTTCTCTTAAATAATAATAAAGTAATGGTTTTATTAAATATTTAAAATGGAATTGTTAATATGATTTCAATATATTAATTAGTAGTTTAGACTTTTAACAAAGCAAATTTTATGTAATTAATATTATCAATTGAATTACTATTTTCAATAGTCTCTTCCTTTCATTTAATTAACTTAATATATGATTACTTATTATAGAAATATATGCTTAAACCTTTGTAAAGTAATAATTTATTTTTCATGCACTTCAATATTTCAATCAAAAAAACATTATCTTGATCTTTTTTAAATTAAGCTTATATTATAAGAAATTATTAGTTTATATAAAATAATTTAAATTATAAAATAGTTCAAATTATATAAAAATATACTTTAAGTTAATCTAAAACAAAAATACAAACAAATAAATATAATTCTGATAACAAAATATATATTAGTTTGATATTTATTAATATTTTTTTTTTTATTTTTTTTAAATAAGAATTAGATTTATCATATAAATAAATAAAAAGAACTTATAAATAAAAAATTTAATTTTTATATTATTATAAATTGCAATATTTAAATAGATTTTTAATTAAGCTTATATTTAGAGACTTCTATATAATTTTAATTTATTTGGCAAGTAATAAATATAAAAACTTCTTGATATATCCAAAAGAAATTAACTTATAAAATTTTTTTAGTATTTATTAATTATATAATTTTTAAATTTTTAAATAAATATAAATTTATAAAAAATAAATCAATACAATAAAAATAAATAAACTTTATTTTTATTTTAAAACCTTTATTAATATTAATATATAACAATTATAATATTAAAATTAATCTATAAAAAATTATAGTCAAATTTATATTTTGTTATAATTGCTTTATTTTATTTTGAAATATTCTATCAGTCTAAAATATTATAATCAATCTCTTATTTAGAACTGTCACCTTTATATAACTGTTGTAATCCTATAAAAATAATAAAGATTTGTACTAATAAAACAAAAATTCTTCTTGAACAATTTCTTATCTAACTACTTGCATTTAAAGATTTATTTAATTTCTATTATTCTATTGTTAATCAAGAACACTTAAGAAAATTTTCAAAAAAAATTTTTTTGAAATTTTATGCTTAAAGATTTTAATTTTTAGAAAAGATTAATATCTTACTTAATATATTTTTTTTAGCCAATTCTCCAAGGATTTATGACTTTATTCATTAGTAAATAGTTTTAAGATTACTTTTTCCAACTATTTTTAAAATAATTAATAATAAAATTAACTTATTATTGAATTGGAATAAAATTTTCTTTAATTTTAAAAAGAATTCAAAAAAAAAAAAGTAACCAAATTATTTCTTTTATCAAAGAGTATATCTTGTTATTTTACTCTTTCTATTGTAATTAATTATATTATTAGATAAAAGTTGTATAAAATAGAACATGTGAAATTTATATGTCTTATTTATATTTTTTGCTACATATAGATTGACTAATTCAAATTCTTAACCAATTATCATTTAGAAATTTCAGTATAATTAAAAATTCAAAATAAATTAAAATTAACAAAATTTTTCAAAAGTTAAAAAACAATTACAAGCTTTTAGAAAATAAAAGAAGAGCTTAAAAAAATAAAAAAGAATTTTAGAGACTTGTAACTATAGTATCTTCTTAGTCTTGAATCTCTGAAAGAAAAAAAAGATTATGTTTTTTCACAAGTTTTTTTTTCTAACAAAGTATTTTTGTTTCTAACTTTTTAAGTAAATTTTTCTTATATTTACTTGCAGAA